GAAAACTCATTCTGATAAGAAAAGAAACCCTGAACTGTTGAAGGCCTCAGACTCAACACGGAGGTCTACATTACATGCCTTGAGGAGGTAGTGCTGCCCTGGATCAAGAGGGTGGCTGCTGGGAGACGCTGTGTCTGGCAAAAGGACTCTGTACCATGCTACACAAGCAGGGAAACCCAGTCATCGCTGTCAAACAATTTCTGTGACCACTTACATCTTGCCACCAAACTCACCAAACCGCAATCTCCTGGATTATTATGTGTGGGGCGCAGTTGAGCGAGGGACCAACACCAAAAATGAACTGAAGGTAAAGATTGGGGCAGCAATCACCATCTTCATACCATCCAGAAGAATTGCAGGAGATTCTGAAGTCGTTTGGAGGCTGTGCTTGCAACAATGGCGATTTTATTGAATATATTTACTCTTCATCATTCCAAGATATAATGTGTAATTTTGTTAAATATATCTGTTAAAATAAGATGTCAGTTTTATTTTCATTTTTGCGTCATTTAGACGACATTTTCTCCATCACATCCTGTATATACATCAAAAGAGACGTTCTTAAACCCTAGAAATGAAATAATTTATAAAACACCCTAAACCAGTCGACACGCGCTACGACGACAATATAATTATATTAACTAACAAGGACAGGGAACGATTTTCAAAAATAACTCCTTGTTTAATTTCACTTATGAACTAAATATAAATAACTTATTACCCTTTTTAGCAGTATTGATTTAAATAATGACAATTTTAAAATCATCGTCTATTTAAACCGAAATAATGTAAACCTGCGCCTATTCAACTACAACTGTGAATGCCTTGAGCGATAAAGAATAGCTTTAATGTTTTTGGAAATGAAACATAAAAGAAACATTTTAAATACCCAATTTTTTAACGAACTCAAAGACAAAACAAACATTAATTAACACTAATTATCCCAACCACATAATTGATAAGCAAATTAAACTGTCCTTAGAAAAATAAAAGCTAACAAATAATACAAATAATACAAATTAAATTGATTGATTTGGTTTTTACGGTTTATCAACCATATAGAAGTTATTTAAAGCCAAATAATTTAAATTTTATAAGGATAATTCTTTTTCTTTAGCAAGTGAATATTGCGTTGGCAATATTTTTTTAGATTAAAAATAGTTGTTTTTCCGGATATATCTCATAATATTTAATCAATAGCTGGAGGGGAGAGACTGATTCACACATTTCCCAAGGGTGTAGCCGCTGAAGTGAATGTAACCAACCCAAATAGAACGTGTAACTCGACTCTTTGATCTTTCATTTCGAGAGATTATCCACTACACCACCAGAAATATTAAACATAAAATATATCATTCAACAGGACATTTTAAGAAATGTAATAATCAGAAAAAAATTGGAGTTGAAGAAAGTTAAAGTGGATCTCAATATGCCATACTTGATTTTCTGATCTTATTCTATCGCACATATGGAATGGGTCATACAGAATCAAGTTATGAAACTGCAAGGAACAACTGCTGACTATATAATATTTTTGATTGGTGACATCTGCAGCATGTCCGTCATTCATTGGACACTTCATCCGCTGGTTCAACCATTGCCCTCTCTTGTAATTTCCAATCGATTGTTCTACTGCAGACAAGATATGTTTTAAGAATTTTTACTAATTTTCTATTGTTTTGATGCTGTGGCGTATAAGGATTTTCCCTACACTATTTACATTATTCGGACTATTGTCCTCATCTTTTTTGCCATATTTATTACAACGTTTCGGCCTTTCAGTATCTGTCTATATTTCTGAGATGAGGTATTATGTACACTATTTACATTATTCGGACTATTGACCTCATCTTTGTCGCCATATTTATTACAACGTTTCGGCCTTTCAGTATCTGTCTATATTTCTGAGATGAGGTATTATGTACACTATTTACATTATTCGGACTATTGTCCTCATCTATGTCGCCATATTTATTACAACATTTTGGTCTTTCAGCATCAGTATCTGTGAGGTATTATGTACATCTGAGATTATTCGGACTATTTATGTACATTTTATTTACATTATTACGGACGGAATTTCATCTTTTTGAATCGCCATGATTTATTACAATGTTACACTATTTTCATTATTCGGTCTGTCATTTTTGAGCCATATTTATTACAATGTTACACTATTTCAGTTATTCGGACTTTTGAGAGGAGGTATTATCTTTATTTACATTATTTTATTACTCATCTTTTTGCCATATTTTTACAACATTTTGGTCTATCAGTATCTGTCTGTAATTCTGAGATGAGGTATTATGTACATTATTTACATTATTCGGACTATTGTCCTCATCTTTGTTGCCATATTTATTACAACGTTTCGGCCTTTCAGTATCTGTCTATATTTCTGAGATGTGGTATTATGTACACTATTTGTATTATTCGGACAATTGTCCTCATCTTTGTTGCCATATTTATTACAACGTTTCGGCCTTTCAGTATCTGTCTATATTTCTGAGATGAAGTATTATGTACACTATTTACATTATTCGGACTATTGTCCTCATCTTTGTTGCCATATTTATCACAACGTTTCGGTCTTTCAGTATCTGTCTATATTTCTGAGATGAGGTATTTATGTACACTATTTACATTATTCCGGCTATTGTCCTCATCTTTATCGCCATGTTTATTACAACGTTTCGGCAGTTGTACGCTCCGGCCTTCTTCAGTTGGTTGGAATGTCGAACTGAACCCTTTACTTCGCTCACTGGCGTAGACTGTTCTTGTTCCACGTGCCATGTTTGATGGATGTCAGTTATCAGTTATCTACTGTTAATTTCCCTCTGAATGTTCTCTACTGCCTTAACCGGGTATTAAACACAAACACTTTGGGTCCTATCACTGGATCTAACCAACGCTTTTATCCACTGTGGCACGTCTCCTTGAGGACATCTGTGTATGGATCTCTGGGTAATCTAAACCTAAATGTCTTCAGCAACCATTTTTACGAGTGCTCATATTGCAATTTTTTTGCTGTTATCATTGCATGGCGTAATATTGATCTGATTTTCTATATTTGTGCAAATACTGGCGGAATGTATGCCGTGATCGTAAACAATGTGTATTTATCCGACGCAGGTGTAAACAATGAAGGGCAACATATGACTAAATTTCTCCTCGTCCCAGCTGTTTCGACATTGTTAAATTTACAAAGTAAAAAAAATGGAATAACTTTCGCTTTGTGGTTCAGTAATCAATATATTACTATGTGTTTTGGATTCCGATATGAAATACGGTATCAATATATAACAAACGCCAAGAATGAATA